CTCATTGATTTCAGAGGTACTTCAGCACATACTTGAGGGCTTTGCAGGGCAACAGCAGATTCCTCCTGCACTTAAAGGTTCAGCATGCTTAAAGGCTTTGCTGAATGGGGGCGGCTTGCTCCCAACAGGCAGGATTTAAAAGCTTGTTGCAAACACCAGAAACTCCACATTGGTGGTAAAACAAGAGGCAGGCAGGACCTGGAGGCAGGTAAGCCCCTCACACACTGCCTGGTCCTGCCCGTGCTGCAGGCAGAGCCTCCCTGCCATAGGAAGATAAACAGCTGCCCTTTATCTGCAGCCACACCGCAACCGCTTCCTCCCGGATTACTTAATGTACCATTAGAAATTAATTAAATGCTTCTGTGGTGAGATAGCAACAGGAAACGGCTGCTCCAAGCAGCTCTCCTCCCTCGAGCTCGGAGGTTTAGAGCCTTTGCTGCAAGGGCAGAGATTTAAAGCCATCAGGTGATGTTTGCTTCTGTGTCCTGGGCTGCTCCAGGTCAGTGTGGGCACGGCATGGAGTACAGTCCTGCAGACAGGATCTGGTCAGGAGCGTGAGTCAGGGCAGGGTGGCATGGAAAGGCAGGCTAAAATGAGGGCAGAGGTGCTCCCAGTGCTCCCTAAGTGCCACCTAAATCCCTGCTTACTTGACTTTGGCTGCCTCTGGAATGTCTCGCAGCTCCTCATGCAGGCGGAGGACTTTGGGATACTTCTTTTCAACGACAGTGATGAGATAGTGCAGAAGGGTGATGTTCCTAGGAAAGAGGAGCAGAAAGGTCAGTGTAGTGTCATCTTGGGGAGCTCAGAGTTTAGTCAAAACCCCTGGTTAATGAACTATTTGAGGATTTCTGCAAGGACGCTTCTCACTGCCTGTCTGGGGACATGGGATGGGTCTGTCCCATGCACAGCCACAGTGCAGAGCAGCCTGGTCCCTGCAAGCAAGGATCCTCCAAAGGAGGAACTCAGAGGAGGTGACCTGAGCATCACTGCTCCTGTTCTCCACTGTCTTTACTGATGGATGAGACAAGGCAGGTTTGTGACCTGATCCAGCTTCTCTTGCTCTGTGCATGGAGCTGGGAAGGAAAGAGCAAACCAGGCAATGGCTGCAGGGGTGGCAGAGGAGGTTCCCGTGGAGAGAAGCTCCTGGGAACCCTTTCTCTGGCTCTTAGCTTCTCAAAGGGCTTAAAAAGCACTGGGAATATGATCCTCCTAATCAGCCTTGGCTGCAGTTTATCCAGCCCAGGAAGGAAAGCCCCCCTCAATCCCTGTGCTGATCTGCAGTTCAACTTCCCTCAAATTTTGTCCTGCTTAAAAAAGCGGACACTCACATCATCAGATGTGCCAGGCTGGGTGGCAGGAGGAGGGGACTGCTCCCACCTCCCCACATCCCAGAGGCAATGCTAATGGCCTCTCAGTTCCCCCAACATCCCTGGGGCCCACAAATGCTACCGAGGATGAGGCCGGAGCTGCTCACTTGTCAATGCTGGACTTGGTGTCCGCGATCTTGTTGAGGCTGGAGATCTTAAAGCCAAAGGCATTTCCCCTCTGCCCCTTGTTCATGTAGTTCCCAAAGGCCAGGACCACCTCCAGCAGCTGCTGGAGGCTGCTGCTCTGCAGCACTGCCTTGGAGCCAGCACGGATGGCTGAAAGCAGAGAGTGACAGGAAATTACCCCCTGACACAACGGCACATCGCTCTTCTTTTCATGCAGTAACACCTTCAGTTCCCCCAAAGAGTGACCACCAGCTCCCTCCCTCCCCCTGCATCACTGCAACCTCCATGTGGGTCAGGCTTGCCCTGACACAGAGGGATGCTCTTCCTATGAGTGCTCCCTGAGCTGGCACAGAATCCCTTAGCAGGTCTGGTCACTTGCCTTCCACCTTGGGTTTGACTTCTGCAACTCTCTCTGCAAACTTCTTCTTGAAGTAGAGGGACTGCAGCCTTTGCTGATAATGGTTTATCCTGGAGAAAAAAGGAGGTGTAGGTTGAGCTTTGCTTGCTCCAGGCAGAGCTCTCTTGCTCTGCTGCTCACAACTGTGCTTACAAAGCATGCTTGAGCCATGGTGATTAAAAAACAATGACCACATTTCTCCCCGAATCTGTGCTGGGATGGGAAAAAATGATAACTGAAGCTACAGCTGTCTTGGGGTGGATCCAGGTGGGCTCTTAAGCACATGCTTAAGCCTATCCTTAACTCAGCAGGTTCAACAAGTGGATTTTTACACCCTATTGGTATGAACAAACAATTCTTTTACAACCACTCCTTAGCAAAGTTGCTGATGAAGTCTGGGCTCCCAGTGGCTTTGTGATGAGTTGCAGCTGGACACAGGCACAGCAACGACCAGCACTAATGAAACTGGACCTTCAGATCCTCAAAATGATGGGCTGGGCTGGAAAGCCCCTTTCTTGGGCAAGTCAGAGACAGCTCTGCTCATGTCAGATGTGTTTAGGCTAAACACGATCTCACTTGTAAGCACATGGCAGTCTGATTTGAGTCGTTTGGACCAAGGACCCATGGGAGACATGCTCACACACAGGGCCATGGGCTATGCTGTCGTGGTACTAATCAGAGGTGACAAAGACATCACACTCGGTTACAGACCACGAGGCAAATTAAAAAGCCGTGCTGGAAATCAAGAAAATATTTGCATCAGCACGTTGTGCTTTCCAAAGGATGAAGGCATGGGAGCAACACTTGGGCAAGAGACTGTGAAGAAGAAAGGTGACCTGTGATAGGAAAGCTAATTCTGAGCATCATCCAGCCCCGAGGGCTCAGGTCTGAACTTCACAGCTCCATCCTGCCTGTCTTTGACACTCAGCAACTACACAGCACATCGCCCCGGTGCTCATCGGTGCATTTCTCAGGGAGGACAGGAGTGTTTCTATTTTTGATCTCCCAGTGCGACCTCAAATTGTAAAACTCACTGACTTTGCAAACAAGTGACTTGCTTGAAGTTCAGCTAAGCAATTCAAAGAGCTAAGTGCTCAGTTCGATTTAAATAAGGAGCTTCAAGATTCTAAACCAGCACCTCTAGAGGATGTGCATGCAATAGATAAGGTTATTCATCCCTGAAGACTTCTAAGCTTTAAATGATTGCTACCAGGAGCAGGAAGAAATGACATTTCCTTTCCATCTCATATATTCTCAGGAGCCCCAGGGACACATCATTCCTGAGGTGAGGAGTGGGACTCATCTACACAGCAGGACAAAATGTACATACATCAGGCTTGAGTATTCATTAGGATGTGATCGTGTGAAGAGGAAAAGGAGCATCATGTTATCATTCAAACAGCACTTCCCACCTAGGCCATAGTGTGGATCATAGAATCATAGAAGGGTTTGGGTTGGAAGGGACCTTAAAGATCATCTAGTTCCAGTCCCTCTACGCTGTAGGGACACCTTTCACTAAACCAGGTTAGAGCACAGAATTACAGAATCAAGGTCAGAAGAGAGTTTTGAGATCATCCAGTTCACCCATCAACCTAGCACCACCACAGTCGCTCCTAAACTATTTTCCCCAGTTGAGAGGGGAAATGTGTCAGGATATGACCTGGGAGGCCAACACCTTCCTTCAGAGGATCCATCCCTCTCCCCTGCTCTGTCCAGCTGCTGCTTGTCTGGGACACACAACCCTAAGAAGGGCTGATTTTCCAAGCAGGCTCCATGAAACAGCCACCTCTCGACCAGCCCATGCAGCCACTGGCCAAAACATGTGTCCCTTGAGCCACCAACCTGCTCATTTCAAAGAGGAACCGGTCAGGCTTAGCCATGCGGTCCAGCTCGTGCTTGTGCTCTTCCAGCAGGTCAATATCAGCCTTTTCAGGAACAAACTTCAGGAGCTAAACAAGAGAAAGCACAGCAGAGGACATGAGGTCCATGGACAGTTTTTCAGAAGCCAAATGGTGATTTATTTCCTTGAATCCCTTTGCAGAATGTACAGACAGTGACCCCAAGACACCTGTGAAATAAGTGTTATTGCTGTCTCTGTGACCTTCCTCCCATTACTCCATCACATCAGTGTCTCTTGCCTCTGCCCTGCCATCACTCTGGTTTTGCAACAGATGTCCTATGTCTGCTCCAAGGAGGTTTCAACATCAGCTCTGCCAGATGAGATATCAGTCAGGGACTCTCATTTGCTGCAACTCTACTTATTTGCAGATGGAAATTTTGTGCTATGAATCCTCCCACCTCTCTGCTCAAAGTGCTCAGCTTTAAGGACAGGTAAATAATAAGGTTCCAAAGGGATTCAGATGGGAGTGAAAAATGGAATTCTCTTTTTGAGGACTGCAAAAGCACTGAACAAGTTTTTAAAAATAAACCACCACCAAGCATGAACTTCAAGCCACAGACACAAAACAGGCAAGTGGCCCAGCCTCAAAGTCCCAGGGCAGACTCAGGCACATGGAGGTCGTGCTGCTCCCAGTGCCAATGCCATGACCGAGCTGCTTTCCAGCTGCTCTAGCCCACTTAGGCGGATTTTTGACATGTGACTCGTAAATAATTTGGGGTCCCACACACTTAAAGCCAGGCTTCGGTCCTAAGCACATTGTCCAGCATTGTCTCAGCATGAGCCAACCACAGAGAAGCACAAGACATGTTGCCCACCTGCTCCAGCATGTCTTTCGGGAGGTCCTCCTGCTCGTCCATCGTCAAAATGGCTCGTTTGATCTCTTCGTTTGAGAGTTTCAGCCTGGGAGGTAGAAGGGAGGGGGAGTTATTCCCAGCCCAGCAATCGAGCAAGGTTCAGGAGTGTTTCCTTACACACCCATGGATCATGAACAGCTTAACTCCCAGCCAGCAGCAGCATCACAAATAACACATACAGCATGTTATGAAGAAGGATGTGTGAGGAACGTGGTAGGACTGTGCTCTGCCAAGGCACAGCAGAGCACAGAGCAGCCTTGGCCCTGCTGTAAAGGTGGGGGTCAAACCCCACCAGCCAATTCCCTCTCCCACCCTGCAGCTGCCATCCCCTATTTCCCTATAGGACAATATTTTATCTAAGTATGGTAAATAGTATGTTATACACATACTGAAAATATCCAACTTTCATATCCAACTTTCCAACTCTTGCCTGTGGCAATGCTGCTCCTGCAGTGCCAGCACCTCTGAAGGCCACAGGGCCAGTGAGGGTCACAGTCCCACCAGCAGCACAGCCCAGCCCAGGCTGGGAGTGCAGCCCAGCACTGGTCCTCAACCCACTGCCACAACCCCTAAGGAAAATGTGGCCAATTTCCACTGCTGCTCTTGGATTTACACATTGCCTCTCCCACCTCTCCCAACAACCTTTGTTTGGAGTCTTCCTCTAGGAAAAAATTTAAAGAAATACAAAATTCAGGGCAGCAAATTCTCAACATCCCAAGAAACCCATTAGCCTTCTGTTTTTTGGAAGGTTGGGGTTCAATGCTCTTCAAAATATAAGGTGGAAATCAGCCTCTCCTCCTCCTTTTTCCTCCTCTACTTCTCCCAACATGAATTGAAGATGTAGCCTCAAATTGGAGATTTCTAAAACCACAGAGCACTGTATCACACTGAGCACCACCAGGCAGGGCTTCCCTGGCAGCAGTATATCTGCCAGCAGCCTGCACTGAGCTGAGGCAAGAGATAGACGGAAAGACGCCCTCGGCTCCTCCTGGGCCAGAACAGCCATTAATTACAGTTTAATTCGTCTGCAGCACTCCCTGCAACCGCTCCCTGCAAGGACTTTGATTGCAAAACCACACATACTTTTCTTCTTCTTTGCATTGTGGTCAATAAAATAATCTAAATTCAAAAGAGGGAAAGCCCAGAAACTCCTGCAGCTTTGTTTGCCAACATCCTCTCCCTCACCCAGGCTGCAGTGATGGTTAAAGTCAATGTGCAATATTTAGTTTTAAAAAGAAATTAAACCCCTGTACTTGCACATAGGGGGAAAGTTGCAGAGTTCATGGGCTTTAGGGAAACTCATCACCCCAGTATTGGTTATCAATGCTGCCAAGGGAAGCTGAAACACTGGATGTGGCTCAAAGCAACGAGCTGAAACCAGAAACACACCCTACAGCAAGATGTGAGACCTTGGAAGTCAACCTGATCAGCAGATCAAAAAGAAGATTGGGAGCTGACTTGATCACTCTAAGTAATTAAACGAGGAGAGTGTTTTTCATCCATGCATCTATTCAGGGATCAGACTGAGACTGTGGAGGTGGCTTTTGGAAGCTGAAGCTAGAGTAGGAAGGGTGTTAGTTTCTAAGACCAGTGTAGCAAGGGCTTGGTTTAGCTTGAAATCTTTTGCTCAAGACTGAAAGCAAAGGATTAGCTCGATTGAGGCAGATGGATCCTACAAACCTGGTGCATAAACATTCATTACTTATGAGCCCATGTTTCTTATCCTGCACGCAGTCCTCTCTCACCTCCTGCTCAAGAGAGCACCCTAGAGAGGGTTTGTTAATTAAGGAGTGATTTAAAATCTACCTCAGCCAGGGGAGGAAGCTCAAAGACTGTGCAGCCAGAACAATTGCTAGGGTTGTCATATAAGGAGCAAACCCAGGATCCATGGAAAATGTCCCCTCTGCTGCTTGCAGTGACAAGCAGCTATGTCCTGGGGTCACCCCACCTGTCCTGTACGAGGGCAGTGGCTGGGATGGAGATGACCTGAGGTGGGATATGAAGCTGCAGGAGGACTTCTCTTACACTCAAGCAACAACAGGAATTCTCAGACTGCCAACACCAGTCTCTGCCCTGGTGAAAAGCAGGCACAAGCTAGGTTTGGGCATTTAGGGGGATCCCTGGGAGGCAAAAATGCTCCTGGGAGAAGGGGATGGGCAGACAGCTACCTCTCATCCAAAGCCAACACCTAAAGCACACACTTTACTGTGCTCATCTCCAGGAGGGTGGTGAAAGATGAGGGTGACTTTTTCAAGCCCTGCTCATTGAAAGCAAAGTCAACAATAAAACACATTTAAAAAGAAAGAGGTTGGAAAAAGAAAAAACTTTTCTCAGGAATCATCATCCCCCAGTGCCAAGAACAAGAGCCCTGCCCCAACATCGGCAGAGAGCAAGCGCGGGGCGCCAGAAGAAAACAGCTTCTCAGACAATTTGATGGGAAAGGGGCCAGTGAAAGCTAGAAGCTTATCTATAACCACAATAATTATCATTGTTGGCAGCAGCTGTCGAACGCGAGCCGTCTGAGAGGAACGGGGTCACAGGACTGGCTGTCACAGGAAGGAATTTAAAGCCAGCAGCCTGCCGATGTGAAGTGACAGCTCGCTAGCCCGGCGAGCGCGGCGCTGCTTTGCGGGGCTTTTGTCGGATCCCGCGGAGGACGTAATAAGTGTGAAGGGGAAAAACGAATTCCGCCGGGAAGGGGACGCGCCCTCTTGAAAAGCCACATTGATAGGAGAGAAATGTTTCACGCCGCCTCGCCGGGAGAGGGGAATCAAACGAGCCATTCACCGCCGGCGCAGGCGGAAAGCGATGGAGCAAAGGCTGGATCTGCATCTGGCAGAGCACAGCACTAAAAATACACACCCATACACAGGGAGCAAAAGTGAGGACGTGGTGGGTTCACAGAGGAAGACCCGATAAGGCACTGACATCGGCAAAGCGTTCTCCAAAGAGCAGAAGAAAAAAAGCAAGTGTTAAAAATATTCATGTGCGGCATTACAAGACGGAGGAAAATCCAGTGATCTCACTGCGCAGTAATTTCTCCCAAAGCAAGGGAAACAGGCAAAAAAATAAATCTACAGAGAGAGATAAAGTATCTTGCTGGCCGTAATCTTTCCACGCTGCGAGCCAGACAATGCCTGGTGAGCTCACAAACGTCTGGGCTAAATCAGGGGCCAAGCCTGCAGGTCCTTTCGCATGTCAAAGTCTGCTCAGCCCTTGGTGGCCATGTGAGTGAGGCAGGAGAGCAGTAGCCCAAATGCCAGACCAGTCCCTTTGGAACACTGGGACCAGGGTCCCACTGCTCCCCCAGCTTCAGGATGGGCAGCTGGGCCGGACAGAGACGAAAGGGTTTGCCCAAGGCCACGTGGAGTCAGCTGGAGATACAGGGGCTGGACCTGAGCCCACCAGCAGGACGGCTGGGCTTCATCCTGACACCACCCTTCCTTTTAGCCACTTGGCATCAGGAGTAAATTGTCCAAAGGGATTTTGGGGATAAAAACTTGATTGTAGTCCCAGGAGCACCATGGGACAAGTCCCAAAGCAATTCCAAAGCAGCGTCTGGTAGAAGTCACCACAAACTCAGAGCCACTCGTCCCTGCAGGGCCCTCATGCTGAGGGATGGGCCTGGGAAAATCCATGTGAGAGTCATGAGGACCACCCTGCAGGGCAAGTCTTATTCCACATTGCCCCTAGGAAATGACCCACAGGGGAGGGCAGGCAGACAGCAGCCTCCTTCGTGCCCTTTTTGTGGGATTAATTACTGGCGATTCGTTTCCAGCCATTGCTTTCTGGGAAGAGGAAAGTTTGCTGCTGAGATGAAATTGAGACCTTTACTCAGTAAGATGTGCAAGATGCCTTTGAAGATAAGTGCTTGGGTCTCTCCCCTTCCCACTGAAGGAGCTATTTGTGTGCTTAACTTTCAATTACACACTTAAACTTCTGCTGAATCACACCTAAACCCACTCTGACTGAGCTCAGCCTACATATGCCGGGGGCAGCCCAGCCAGTGCCTCGAATCCCATCATTTTACTTGCTAATAGCTGGCTGCCACAGACATACTCATTTGCCTGATGCTTTAAACTCCACTTTCATCGTCATCCTTTTTATTTGGATTGCTAGGAAGTTCAGAAATCCCCAGCAGCAGCCCGGAGCAGAGCCAGCCATAAACACAGCAATTTTACCCCCAAACGCTGTGGCACACGGCTCACTGCACTCGTCGTTCTCACTGCCCAAGGGGCTGCCAACCACCTCTGGGAGAGCTTGAAGAAGCACCAGGGACTGTGAGTTATCCACCCAGAGGTTTTTTTTTTCTGCAGACATCAGCCTCTCTGTGCTTTCTAGGGAAGGAAACCAGCTGGACTGCCCAGACAAGGCAACATGTCTACCAACCCATGGTCTGGGAAAACAAAATTTGGGTGCTGTGGCTGCAAACCCACCCTGCCAGTGGTGCCACTCCATCCTGGCCAGTCCTGGGTGGCATAAAAGCTTCTGTGCTTCCAGACAGCACTGTGAACACTCTGAATGAAACTAAATTTTACTGCTGTTGGGATCTTTTTTTCTTTCTGGGTGAGTCAGAAACAAGCGGCATTTTCTGCTGCTATTTGGGTGGTGTTTTTCTCTAGTAGCTACACTGATGGTTCATCCTTTCAGACCACTGCAGCCTGGCTTCCTTTTCTCAGGAGTCAGTCTTATTGGTGTAGTTTATCTTGCAAAAAAAAAGCCCTTTTTATCCTCTTGGCAGCAATCTGGGGATTGGATTAAATTGCTGGTAGCAGTCCTGAGCCTGCGTGGCGAGGGGTGGGCAGGAGACTGTCATCCCCATGGGGCTGGGCAGATGTAAAGAACATCCCCTTCCTGAAATCCAGATGTGGCACAGGACACTGTGTGGGCAGCAAGGCCAAATTACTGCTGCTCCCTGCACCCTGCTGATACCCAGTCCAACAGAGACCCTCTTCAACCACCGTGAAAGAGCAAACAAAACCCACGCTGAGAAAGATAAGAGATGAAATCAACCCTCTCCCACCCACTCTGAAGGCTCACAAGGTACCCCAGCCCCTTAGGGGTTCTCCAGGGACACTGAATTCCCATGTACTCAGTTAATGGCATTGCCCCCACCGTGTCACCCTGCTGTGAACAGTGTAAGGCTATAGTTGGATTCAGGTGTCCCTGGCTCTCCTCCTGTGCTGGCTCCTGTCATTAACCACTCCCTCCAGAGGTAAGGAGCACTCCTCAGCCCAGGGCAGGGTATTGAGAATCCTCCCACTCCCCAGAGGGCAAGAAGGCATTAACCATACCTGGAGAGGAGGATATTGCAATTCTGAGCTCTCCGGCCATCTATGACGGAAAGTTCCTTGACTTTATGCCGGGAACTCAACGTGTCATCGATAGCATCTTCCTTCTACAGAAAAATAAGGGGAAAAAAAAAAAGGAAAATCCTGGAGAAAAGCCACGGAGCAGCAAAGACATTTAGTACTCTCAGCACATAGCAGCGTGATACACAGCGGGCCCCCATTAATCAGGAGTGTCACCATGGGTTACGGGTAAAACCCATCGCCTGTAACCGAAACACAGTAAGTCATTTCATAACCCAGAGCTGGCTTTGAAGCCACTGGTTAGAAATGTAAATATTTTCTCAGACAGGCAAGATTTAAAAATCTGCAAACACATGGGTGCTGCTGAATAAATAAAGCCAAGGCTTTCTTAGCATACATACTTGTGATACTTCATTAAACCCTCGCATGAAATATTTCATTACGGGCTGCTGCACACACTCAGCATCACTCTTGTTCTTCACCCTCGCTCCAAACATCTGCAAATCGCCCTTCATGCATCAGTCCTCCCGGGCCAACTAACCAATACAAGCTACCAGACTTGTTAAAGCCAACTGCAGCTTTTTTCAGTGACATTCTCCTAAAATAAGGCACTTGAAAGCAGGAATTGGCGTGACATAAGCACTTACATCTCCTAAGCTGCTTAAATATGTTACCTTCAAACAAGCAACACTATTGTGGCTGCTGGCGAATGGGCAGATCTATGTAACAGCAATTTCGCAGGGTGGCCCACAAGGTTCATGTTGCCCCAGGTTTTAATTTACCATATTGCATATTTCAGTGAGGTTAATCAATTAAAAGCTGGCTATTCAATCCTGCTGGAAGGAACACAACCTCGAGCTGCAAGGTCCTGTGTGTTACGGATCTGCACTAAATGTCCATAAGTATAGAAGACCTGGCATGCAGCCACTGCATGGGTTGTGAGAGTGAGCACAGAAATTCCCTTTTTTTAATTCTTTTTCTGGTTTGAAAGGAAAAAAAACCCCTGACAGCTATGAGAAGTGGGAAGCTGCTGCGACAGACGGCGTAGAGGCAGGGGATGGAAGGCGAGCCCCAAGTCACCTAGCACCAGCTGCCTCTCTCATGTGCCTTGCCTGCTCTGACCATGAACAAACAAGTTTCAATCCATGAGTTTATTTATTTTCATCTTTTACAAAGCAAAAATGCTCAGGGGTAGGAGCTGTGTTCAGCTGCATCTAAAAATTCAGCCCTTGGACACAGACACTGGCTCTGACCTCAGGTCAGACAGCAGAGAGGGCAGCTTCTGACTTACAGACCTCCCCAGCATCAACTTTCAAGCTGCTCCTGCTGGTGATCTCTGCAGCTCTCTGATTCAATCCCGTTTGCCACACATTAACCCCTTGCAAAGCTGCCCTGGTGTCCCCGGCCCCATGCTCGCCCTGCCCTCACCACTCGCCCGCGCCAGGCTCCTGGGGATGCTCGCTTACCTGTCTGGAGTTACCATTCATAAAGAAGTCCTACAGCCATAGCAGAAGCATGGAAAAAGGCAGTAAAAACACATGCAGTTCAGTGATCTTGGTGAAACCAAAAGGAATTGAAGCACAGAGAAGGGAAGCATGCAACATGGGGAGCTTGGCAGCACAGAGAGGCACTTGGGGGTGTCAGTGCTGAAACAGGGGGGATGCAGGTGAAAATGTGGGTGGAAGAATGAGCAGAAAGGGAGAGCTGATGGGAGAAGTGGCTCCATGAATAGCTCAGATCAAGGTGCTGGTGTGTACAGAGGTGAGGAACGGACACGGGATGAGGTGGGAGGATGCTGGCCAAGCCCTGCCACTGGCCCAAAGGCACAGCACTGCTCAGCCTGCCGAGCCGGGGAGGAAAATTGCTAGTTCTTGCACATCTGAGGGACTGAAATGCCAATGCAACTGCCAGGAAAAACAGGGCTTTCAAGTGGAAATAACAAGAGGCTCATCCTGGAGCAAATCTGGCCACAGCAAAACTTTACTATTTGCCATAGCAACACATTTCCCCTTGACTGCTCCTCTGACAGGGACACCCCTCTCCAAGGCTTGTCAGCCTGGCCAAATGCCACCTTGATGCCCCACTGGCACCATGTTCCTCCAATGACCTGCTTGTCCTGCTGTGCTCCCCTCCCCAGACTGGAAGCACGTGCAATAAAGCTGGCACCACACATGTGCATACACACACACACACACACACATACACACACACACAAAGATTTTTCCACATTATTCCCTCGGCTGAGCTGTGCTGATCAAGAGCCCTGTGGCTAAAATCCAACAAGTCTCTAAATCCGTTAAGGTTAAGGATAGGTGTTTCAGAAATCAACCTCTTCCCAGCAGTCTCCTTTGTGGGACAGGCGCAAAGCACACCCACAAGCTGCAATGAGTATCTTCATCTTCATTTAACTGGTCCCTAATTAGGAAGACTTCACTCTGATGCTCAAACCTGCCCCATGATGCTCAGATTTGTCCCATGCTGCTGGAGAGGAGAAGGATGTGGTGGCCATCCTTGCAGTCCCCAGCTCCAGAAGAGGGAGGGCTCCTTATGCCTTAAGGTAAAGAAAAGGCTCATTTACAAAAACCCTCCCTCTCTGCCTCAAACCAGCCTCATTCCTGCCCCTCTCCCTCGTAGGAACTGTGATCCAGCCTCTGCTGCAGGATGGTGCAAGAAGGAGCAGCTTTAAATGTGCTGTCACCATCCCCACAAACATTTCCCAGTCCTGCTGTCCCTGGCTAGGTCACTCTTGTTTGCACGGAGGAGCTGGAGGCTTTACATCCTTCATCCTTTTTTGGGAGATGAATTCTTTCCCAGCTCACTGCTAAGCCCTGGGTTCAACAACACGTATTTTTTTCCACTTGGCCTTGGCTCTTTTACATCACTCACTGCTGCAGAACCTGCCAGGGCTGCCCTGGCTGTGTCACTGCTACTTATCAGCACCACTCTCAGCCCCTACCCCCTTGCAGGCTCTCAAGACATCCCTGACAGAGGCACAAGCCCCTGAGTAGCACATGTAAGTCCTGATGTCCCTGGACTCTCCATCGCCACATGCACATCCTTACACAGCTCCCCTCAGTCCTCATGCCACAGCCTAAAACTCCCAGCTCTTGTGGGTTTTTCTCTTATATCTGGCAAGTCTGGTAAGAGCTGGTATTATGTACAGCTGGAGGGCTGAGCCCTTCTCTGGGGACAGGGACATCTACAGAGCCTCAGCAGGGAGGACAGGGAGGATATGGGCTCTCCTGACAGCTTCACCCAGCATGAGACAGGGATGCTCCCGTACTGAGCCCCAGGAAGCCCAGAGGGTTCTTGTCCTTCCTGCATGGAAAGAGCCTTTCCCAAAACCTGCAGAGCTCACTTTATAGCCTGTATTTACATTCCAGCCTGTGATGTGGGAAAAGCATTTAAAGAGATGCTTAAAATTAAGTACATCATTAAGTCTCGGGGCTGTGCAGTACTTAGGGATTCCCAGGTGCTGTGGCAATAAAACCAGCCAAATCCCAGCAACAGCAGCCACATAACAGCCACGTGGAGGGGGGCAGACAGCTCTCTGCACCATGCACACCACCCTCAAATTCTGCTGAGGCACTGGCCACAGGGATGCACCCCTTGGCCATATGGTTCCAGAGCCTTGGACTGCCTAGGGCACAGACAGACCCTGATGCCTCAGGTCCTGTGGATATCATGTCTCAGGACAAGTGAGTGATGTGAACACTGAGCAAGTGATTTTCAGCCAAGGGCTCAAGACAGGGAACAAGAAGGGGATATCCCTGGTCCTTCCCTGCTTGCTCAGGACAGAAACCAACTATTGTCAGAATTTGAAAATGCTGCAAGTTATTAAGGTTCATCATCCTTCCCTGCAGGGACAGGCCATTCACATGGAGCTCCCTCAGCCCCACACTGTACCCCATGGTGTCTGTGTGTTATAAAATCACAGGATGGCTTGAGTTTGAAGGGACCTTAATTTCACCTTGTTTCAACCCCCCTGCCACGGGCAGGGACACCTTCCACTAGATCAGGTTGTTTCAAGCCTCATCCAACCCGGCCTTGAACACTTCCACCTTCCTTTATCTCAGAACACACATCTAACCCCACGTTCTGGAGTGTGCACAGCAGTTGTCTGCGGAGATGTGCTGCCAGCAACATCAGGGCACACAGCTAGGTACCCCCTCCCCACCCAGGGCACTCGCAGGTGGCAGTCAATGCACCCTCAGGTCCAGGGGCATGTGTCCCATCCACACACAGAAAACAGTGCTACCATGAAGTCTGGGTGAGCCAGAAGAACTTGTGCATCATGCTCCCAAGGGTGATTCCAGCCCCAGCAGCATCTCATCCCGTGGGATTTCACCTCATCTTTCCCAATCTCCCTTCCAGATGCATTTCTGTCAGTCTCACCCCAGAGACTGGCTCCCACATTCAGCTCCCTTTTGGTCTTCATCCCCTCCGGGGATGTCACAGCTCTCCTCGCAGCATCTTCCTGTTCCTGCTGGCCCCAAACCTAACCAACCACTTCACCCAGAAAGACCTCAGCCAAGCCAAATTATTTTTAAATTCCTGCCTGGCAATAATCTGCATCACACCAGGTGACTCATGGACTCATGGACTCGGGCAGGCAAGCTGGAGGGGAAACCATCCCGCTGACACACAGGTTTCTATTCTTGCTCCCCTTCCATTTCCATCTCTTGTCCTCAGACATGCCCTTCAGTAGACATGAGTCAAGCTCCAAAAATGCCACGGGAAAGAGACAGTGCTGTGGTCACCTATTCCCAAAACACTGGGGCAGCACGTACTGCTCGTGGGTTACTCTTAATATTTGCCCTGCTCTAATCTGCTCTGATCTTTCCCTCAATTAGCCTCTGGAGGAGATTAAACTCTCACGTTGCTTAATGAGCTTATGGGTCAGGTCCACTCCTTCCCAGCACGGTCCTTCTGCCTGAGCCTGGCATGAATGAAACAAGCTGTTCTCTCCTCCCAGTAATCCAGCCAGGTCTTCAGCAGGTGAACATCCTTTTCCAGCCTCTCTTCTTATTATTCCTCCTGCCTTCTTGAAAAACTCATAGCTTTTGCTCATTTTTCATCCTGCCTGAGGTAAAGTAAGTGTCTTAATTTTCTTCATGTGCTTTGATGCTTTCCAAACTGGGGCCGTGTTGCTTGAGCAGGAGATTAAAAAGCAGACACTTTTGTCTGAAATGACATTTATTTTGGTTTGGGATTTTTGTTCAAAGCTCACATTTTGCTCTGGGCTCACTATAAAAATAAAAGAAGAGATCCACCCATGGTAGATGTGGGCAAAACTTAAGTCCTTCTTGGCCAGAGAAGGATAGAAATTTTCCACCCAATACAAAGACCTGGAGCAGTTGTTGTCAAGAGCAATCCAAAAATATTACCCAACTATGGCCACATCTGGGGGCTATTTTCCTACATTCCCTGTCTCTTTTTTTGGTGTTTTTTTTGGTGATCCATCTTCATCTCCATGACACATGTGGTCAGGTGCATGGGCAGGGGTGAAATCAGGGACATCAAGCTGTGAACGGCCACCTCAACGCAAAGGCTCTGGCACTTGGGTGAGAGGATAAAGCAGATCGAGTCGATCTGGCAACCATGGCATTGGTATGAAATAATGATGGGAGATGTGTTGTGAGACCACAAGTGAAACCACTGATGCCCTAATGGTGATGCCTTGCCCAGGTCCCCACATGTACCTGCCCCAGACCAGACATTACCTGCTGTCTTTGGTAGGCAGAGAACGTCCTTTCCAGGTCTTCGAGGTCCAAGATTTTGAACACTTTTGCATCATCTATGTCAGTCCACACGGTGCCTGCCAGCTTGTTCTGCAAGACAGTGTGAGCACTGCAGGTTGAGAGTCTCCTGCCCACCTGCCCTTACATCACTGGTGGCCATCAGGCACCTCTGGTGTCACTGCCTGAATTATTGCCTGGCTTACCTCTGGCAGCTTGGACCAGTTGAAGGACTTGAGAGCATTTGTTGGCTGAGGGATGCTCTTCTTCTTGAAGGCCGAGCCCAGAGGTGCTCCGAGGGAAGGCATCATCCCATCCAGGAGTGGGGGTCCAGGGGGAGGTGGAGGA